CAAATGACCACAACAGCCAAGGCTGAGCCAGCCCCAAGCTGGAAGCCCAGAAGTCATGCTGAGTCTCCTACTAGGGTGGCATGGACCCAAGGACTTGAGCCATCATCTGCTGCCTCCACTGCTTGCATTAACACAACTTTGCACTAGGAGTGGAAAAGCAGGCTCTGAAACAAGACACTCTTACACAGGAAGCAAGAGTATCCAGGGGTGTCTTTAACCAAAGTGCCGAATGCCAGCCCCTGATCCTTTTCTTAGGCCAGAATTATGTCAAGTGCATTACGCCAGGCTCCTTTAAGGAGCTACTCTGGTAGTTTTTAACCAGAGAATCTTTAGAAATGCCTCAGCATGTCATGAATCATGGGCTGCTACTGGCACCTAGTGGATGGAGGCCACAAACACCACTGAACAACATACAAAACAGCAAATCCACAAAGAACCAGGACCCAGACTTCAGGTGCCTTCTGGGGCATGGAAGCTGGTGAGGGGTGGACATTCTTCACGGCCTCCAAGTCAGAACTTCCAAGTGCCTGCAGGACGCCCTGCCCGTGGCCTTCTTGTAAGATACTAAAGACACATCCGAGTTTGTGGATGTGCCAAATGTGTTAGGCTTTCCCACTGCTGCAAAATCTACTAGACGTATTTTCAGGAAAGTGGTTGGGATTTAGAGTAAAAGTTAGGTTTCCATATTACCAACTGATTATCTATTCCAACACTCCACTCACACACAGTCTAGGGCTAGCCCAGGGGCTAGACTGTATTTGAAAGGCAGAGAGACAAATGTCTTTCATTGTTACTGATTAACCTGAATATTTAAAGGTTGGACCATACCAGCCAGGGTGAGGAGCTCAACCCTGACCTCTCACACAGGTAACAGAGACCCGAGTACTTGAGCCATCCCTTGCTGCCTCCCTGGGTGCAAATTAGCAGGAGGCTGAACTGGAAGCGGAGGAGCAGGTTCTCATAACATCACCGCAATATGCAATGCACCAAGTGGCAACCTGACCACTGCACCAAATGCCCATGCCCAGATATCCAGATTTATTTACTTGTATTGGAAAGTCAGATATACAGAGAAGAGGAGAGACAGAGAAGATCTTTTGTCCACTGCTTCATTCCCCAATTGGCCACAGTGGCTAGAGCTAAGTAGATCCGAAGCCAGGAGCTCAGAGCCTCCCCAGGTTTTCCGTGTGGGTGCAGAGGGTCCACAGAAAGCTGGATAGAAAGCAGGGCCACCACAACACAAACTGGTGCCCATATGGGATCCCAGCCCATGCAAGGTGAGGACTCTAGCAACTAGGCTACTGCGCCAGGCCTCAGGTTTATTTTTATGAGTTTTAGCTTTTTGTGAATAGGAAAGCCAACTAGAGCTGAGTTCATGCTATGGAAACGGAGGATCTTAGGTGCCTGCAATTCCACCCCAGAATATGTAGATACTCATACAGTTGGCATTAACTAGCATAAAGCATTTGGCAGCAGCATCCATCCAATTGTAAGCTATATGAATACATGGTCCCAATTTCTAACCGAAGTCAAGTCAGTGTGCCATCATGGGCGGAGTCAGGAGAATCTAAAACCTGATCAAGTGATGTGCCTAAACACTGATTGACAACTGGATGAAAGCAGCAGCTGGCCAAACACTGCTTATACCGGAGACCCTAGAAAACCCATGTGCCACTGAAACTACACAGCAGATCTGGTTCCTGTCCCCTACCCCCAGCAGGCTCTCCCTTTCACAGGTCAATTATGAAGAGGGCAATACTATTCCTTTCCTTGCATATCACTAAAGGCTGAAGCAAAATCAAAGTGAGAAAAAGACTGGTCTTGAACAAGTTTTAGAAACTGGCAGATGAAAAACAGGTTCCTCTCTGCACTGGAGAACCAAGTGGATAGCTGGAGAAACCGAAGGCTTCCACACCTTGCCTGAAATTTAGAACCTTAAGACGCAGAGTAGAATATAGCACACACCTTCCCTGCCTTGTACAAATGGGGGCTAAGTGAGTGGTAAAGACAAGCAGATGGCTCTGTGCACACATCTGGCATCGTATTCCAAAAGTCAAACATTCTCACTCCATTCTCCCAGCAGCCATGGAGCTAAACAGATCTAAAACTAAATCCCATCAGACTACATTGTTAGCTTACCTATGCACCTTTGATGAGTGACTTAATCATTTTAAACACCAGTCACCTGCTCTGTGAAATAGCAGTGGTGACAGCACTGGCAAAACTTAGCCCCATTATCTGTGGGTTAAGCAATCCACTTCCTCCCTGAAATATGGCCCCTTGTGATTTGATGTCTGTTCTGATAGCTACCCCGTGCAAAAAAAAAAAAAAAAAAAAAAAAAAAAAAAAAACCCTTCCTTTCTTTGCGATGCCTCATTTGGCAAGCTTCATCATCAGACAATCCAGCAAAGCTGCCCTGATAGCCCCATTCCTGACGCTGGTAGGCGCTCACTCTGTCCTGGTGCTGCAGCCTTCAGAGCTGGCCTTGTCACCGCAGAAGTAAAACTTCATTCCGACTCCCCCAGGCTGAAATCTCCCTGAGAGTTTCTGTTGGCTACTAAGTTTGCACAGTGCCTGGCCAACATATTCCCACGGACTCAGTGAGCCAATGAAAAAGGCTCCTGCCCACAGAGGAGCTGGGGGCCATCCCGTACCTTCAGGAGCGGATTTTAACCAGGGAAGATCAGCAATACTAAATGCTGCAAGGAGAGCAGAAAACAGGACAAGCCAAGAAAAGGACAACAGACTTGGAAATCAGGTCTCTCCCCAGTGATCTGAGCCTAGAGACAGCAAAGGCCACACACCAGAGATGGGGAGAGCAGAAAAAGGGGTAGACAGCTGCTGTGAGATTGTGGCAGGAAGCCCAGTAGAAAAAGCTTTCCTGTTAACCACAAGGGGAATGTGGTTGGTGACCAACAATGAACAGCAACAGCTACGAAACCCACCTGCTTTGCTTATAGTACCAATGACCTGGATAAGCTGATGACTCAGAGCTAAAGGGTCTACCCAGAAGAGTCACCAGGTTGGGGCAGAGAGGCGAGAAGTTCTAAAAATATCCAGCCCAGCAAGGAGTGAAGAAGGCTAGTAGCCTGCTAGAAAACTGAGAAATAAACAGTGCTACTAAAGGAAGAAAAGCATTTTAAAATGTGAAGCAACAGAGACTGTTCAATAGCAATGTGTCACAGCATACAGCCACCAGGCAAAGTAGACAGCCGACTTCAACTCCTTTCAACTCCATCCACGTACATGATCAGACAGTATCCACCAAAAGCTTTGTGGGAAAACAGAATTGAAGTAAGCATTTTGGTACAATTCTTTCAGATTCATATCTTCAAAATACACATTTGCCATGAATTCCTTCACATTACACATTAGGCCAAGGAAACTATGAAGTAGCAGAAAGAAAATATAATTGCACATACACAGTGAGTACACACAATATGCTATCCGAGATCAGTAGAAGCCCACCTATAAAATAAATATTTATGTCATGGAACATGACCTAGGGAGTCTTGGAATGAAGACTGGGATATCGGGATGAGATGGAGAAAGGAGAAAATACCAAACCTGTTCCTTTAGGAGAAACAAGAGGACGAGAAGAAAATGCACGCTCACCAGAGGCAGCAACTGACCAAAGCACAAGCTGAAGACAGGCTATTTTCCTTGCACCTTTTCATTCCTACTGCAAAATATCTCATGTGCATAAGAAAGTGTAGAAAATAATATTGGTAACACACTGATCACCAATATGAGGGGTATCGGGCTCACACTATAGTGAACAAATACCAGCTAAAGCGACTTCAACCACCCTAGCCCAGCCCTCACTCCGATCTCCCTCCCGAATAGTAAGTGATGCTCAGAAGCTGCATCCTCACAGTATGAGCCAGCAGCACACGCACAGGTTGGCCCCGGGTCATCGTGGTACCACTCCATGCAGAACGTGACCCCTTAGTTTTGTCTCTCAAGAGAATCTCATGACCTTTTAGGAATGTTCCAGGTAAGACTGCTATTACTTGTTTCCAGGTAGGATTCTAGAAAACACTTATTTTATAGAAAGAATATAATGTGGGGACGATTCTATGATTCTGATCAAATCTGTCATAATTAAACCAAGGACAAGATCCTAGATTTCAGGGCTACCTGGAAGGTTAATTCTGTCATGCCTGGAGTCCCCGGTACAGTAAAGAAAGCATCCTCCTCACCATTTATGCGAAGTTCCCTGTCTGAAAAACAGCCTGCTACTCAAAGGGTAATCCATAGAACAACCACATTAATATGCCAAGCTCCACACCTGTACAATCTCAAATCTCATTTAAGCAAGATCTCTTTAAGGAGCAGTGGTCTAGGGAATTCATGAAGGTGACAGCATAATCTAGACACCCTTCAGCCACACTCACCCTCTTCCTATCAGAAAACATGCATGCTGCTCTCAGGGGTACTCATGCCAAGTCCACACCTCATCTCCTTGGACTGAGAGCAATCGTGTCCCCCACAGGACATGGCCTCACGTCTGGAAACACCTGCGGCATTCACAATCAGGGAGGTTGGTACCACTGGGAGGGAGAAACCCAAAATGCTGTTAAACATAAAAACATTCGGGAAGAAGGCCCAACACCACCCTCCCCCACAAATAATCATCTGGCCCAACATGTGAACAGAGTGAAAGTAAAATCATAGACCTATGATTTTGTTTTTGTGTCAAAAATGACAAATAGTTCTATTCATCAATTTACCTGATTAGAACAACCTTTTTTTTTTTTAATGGAGGTTTAAAAGACTGTCAAACAAGAGGTATCCAGGGTTCTCAAAAGAGTTCTCAACCAAATCCATCTTCATCAACGATGACAACCAGGGCTGTTTGGTAAAGCAATAATACAGGCACGTGAGGAGACACATCACGACCGTGCCTGCTAAATACAACCAGGGAAAATGGGACAAAATTCTCTGACAAAGCCAAACTAGTGCTCGGTCAACTAATTCTTCATTTTGTTGCAATACAGGATGCTCCGTGAAGACACACACCACGCTGGCCATTTCAAGATGACAAGAATTGCCTGGGCTAAATTACTTCAGTGAAAGGAAACCTCATTTGACACATAAAAAACTTAACAGGTAATTGGGGAAAAAAACCAATGTGCTAATTCCATTAAAATTCTGTGAAAGGATGATTTTTTTTCTTAAGAATGGAATAATGCACAAAAGTAAGATGGTATAAGATACCCCATGTATAGAGAAAAATTGGGCACTGAGCAGAACTACAGAGATGAATAATAAACTTAGCATTGCCTAATCATTATTTCTACTAAGATTAATGCACTTCTGGAATAAGTAAGCATTGCTTGATATAGCCCTAGATCATAAATTTTGTCTAAAAGCAATTTTCCACGTATTTTGCAGCCTTGAAAACTTGGAAGGCTACTAACAATCTCAAACTTTGCATTGCACAACATGCACCCACCATCTCTCAGATTCAATCTTTCGCACTGACTGTTTCTAATCATTTAAACACACACACAAGAAAAGGGAAAATCAAGGAACACAATCTAGATGGTGCCTCTGATCCTTCCTCCTTAAATCCTGGCTTTAACCCCTCACAAACAGCATTCTGTCGTGTGTCAGCAAAGACACCAGAGTGAGCGTAGATCTAGGTTACAGCATTTATTTTATCTTACCTGATCTTGTGAATCAAAGAAGAGTTCAATCTGACAAATGTACATATATATACACACATATATGTATGCCATTGAGCATTCCTTTAAATGTTTAGCCACATATACAAATTGCTCAAAAGTACAATCTCAACAATTTAAGAAGCACTAATGATACCCTAGGGAACAAAAAACCTCAGTGGTAACATCAGACATAACTACCGTAGCAGACAGAGTTCCACCAACATGCACACACTGGCTCGGGACTTCCACTTGCTCCGTTTTCCAGTTGAGCATCCTCCAGAAGCCCTCCTGCATCTGTCTTTCAACTTTAATAGGCAGTGGGGAAATAAGTAGAAACAGTCAATGAACCTACCGAGAATCTAGGGCAAGGATGCGAGGGCTGCTGGGTCACATCAAAGAAATTCTTTGTTTTCTCTGGATGCATTTGGTTGTCACTCACTTTTCATTATTCTATGAAATCAGCATCAGGATGCACTATTTTTTTCCATTTCTAAACTCACTGAATTCCCAATACATCCTTTAATCAGGACACCAAAATATCTCTTCATCACTACTATTATTATCATGTCCAGTTTCTCATCCAGTACAAACCACTGCTGCCTTTTGGTCCCAGTATCTAGTGGCTCTCACTTGCCATAGAGGCCTTGAAATGGTTTATCTTGTTCTATCATTATTCTAATGCCTCCTGCAGAAAAGACTCTGTACTTGGAGACAGCTGAACTCAAATTATATAAGAACTTTCAAATTCCTACTAATGCTGTTTTGAAAGACAGCTTTGGTTTCTTCCTCATACAGAGTGTTTCTTTAAGGTGAAGAACTCTGCCCTGCTGTGAACCTGTATCAAGCAAGACAGGAGGCGTAGGTAGCTGGGTCACCCTGATTATTTTCTCTACTAGCAAGTGCCAAACCCTTTCTCTGAAAACAGAGACTCATGCCTGTTACTGCCTCAAAACTATCAAGATAGCAAGCAGGTGGGGGAAGACACCCAAGCCAGCACTGAATATGTGAGCAATTTAATATTTTTCAATTTCATATTTTAGCCCAATCATTCCCACAAACGCCAAGCACCTGCCACGAGTCCTGTCCCACAGTGACCGAGGGGGCCGTGTCCCTGACACTGGGACACCAAAAGAAGCCTGGGAGCCTCGCATAGTATGCGTTCTCTCAAACCGTGAGCAACTGGCCTTTCAACAAAAATGCATCTACGCCTCAGAGACAAGTCAAGTTATGTACGAAACACAGGCTGCTTGTCACAGCAAGGGTTTAAAATGAAACAAATGCTATCCCTTACTTACCATCTAAGACATGGGAATGGCCACGCACAAACAAGGCAGCAGGGGAAGGCCTTTGGAAGAAGCAAACCCTTTCTGCCCAGGGCCACACACGCAGAGGCAATGGGATAAAAGGGGAAATGAGTGCTGAGAAAAGCCTGTGTGGAGTTAGACCCTTGTGGCCATTTTCTCTCCCACAGGAAGTCCAGACTTGCAAAATCAGGTGACACTAAACATTACTGATTATGCTGTAAGATAATTCTCGTGCGGGAAGTCACACCCAAATGGGCATGGCTATGTTTTTTGATGTGGAGTATGGCTGGGCTCCATAGTCCACACTTGCAAATTGCCATTCCCCACATTTCCCTAATTTTATTGACACAGCTCGTCACTCTCTGGGTGACAAGAAACACTGAAACAAGATATTTTCCCCAAAAAAAACCCATCATCCCCCCACAATCTTTAATTCCTACTATTCCAGATGCCAAGTATCCAAAGAATTGATGTCTTCAATTTCCAGTTTATCTCATAAAACAGTTTAAGCAGACAATGCATTAAAGAGTTTGCTAGAATTACAGTATCAAGAAATGACATGGTATCTCTCCTCTGAGAGCGCTATTGCAGTGGGGGGATGGGAGGGAACAAGGAAAAAAGAAAACCTGCACAGAATCCATGCTCAACCCTTGCCAGCCAGTGCATGGAGAGGGGCATTTCCTGGAGGAAGTGGCTCACGCCTCGGCTGAGGCATTTAGAGTGAAAAGTGAGCCGGCCGACAGAGCAGCTAAAGCAGACCTAAACTAAGGTCCGAGCGGTGGTCCAGGGGAGAGAAATCATGGCACTCAAAAAGAGGTAGAAGGATTCTGAGCAGGCAGCAACACACTGCCGGGAATGCTGGAAGCATCTGACCGAGGCGTCAGGGGGGACCTGGAGTGGTTCCACGACAGCGTACAGCCCTTATCTGACGACCGGCACGGATGACCAAAGGGCTTCCGCAGGAAACTGATACTGCTCCGATATGAGAGAGGGAGGGAACATTTGCTTTGAAGCATCAAATGACATTCTGATAAATTCTAGTCTTCCCCTTACCTTCAATCCATACTTCTGACAAAACATTGAATTCCCTAATGATGGAAAATCCTAGACAACATTTAGCACAGCACATGATCAAACCTACTGTGAACCATGTCACTTCCAGTTTCCAAGGAGACAGAAAGGGAGAGCCGGTTTAGAAAAGCTGTCCACCACTCTGCAGTGGAACTGCCCACCAACATTGGGACGTGTATGCAGGTCAGACACTGTCACAGCAAAGGGCATTTGTTACAATGTGTACATGGAAGGCTTCTAAAGTCAAGGTCAGAAACAGCCTCTCTTCAAAACTGGATTCTATGAATCCAGAAAAATGTATCCTGGATGTATCGGAAACATATCTCCAATATAGGAAGGAAAAAAAATAAAACATCAAACTAGTAGTTCTGAATAAAAGCGTAATTTGGCTTCCATGGTTATCAGGTTTTATGAGCTCCTCAAGAACTATAGCGTCTCAGGGGGAACAGTCAGCACCTTAGGGAAAAGGTGGTCTCTGTAGGACAGCCAAATTTTCAGTCTGCCCCTCTTCTCTAATTTGTCTCCACTGTCACTGCCTGTGCTAGCCTGTCCTTCTCATGAACCAAAAGAAGAGAGAGCAAAAAAGCACAAGGAGTGTCTGAGTTTTCAACAGGGCCACACGGTATTTTCAAGCCCTTGAACAGTTTGACTGTATTTCCCACCCTCCTGCTTGGAAACGGAGTCACAGGTTGTCAAGTGTGCTGAGTGACAAGTCTGCCTCTCTTTCCAGCCTCTGCCTTCACCAGCCACAGAATGACCAACTCAAGCACCGCAGAGCCTCCAGCAGAGCCCTGCTCCAAGAACACTCTTATAACCCAGCAGATCATCCCTGGGCTGTACTGCGTGGTCTTCGTGGCAGGCATCCTCCTCAACGGAGTATCGGGATGGATATTCTTCTCCGTGCCCAGCTCCAAGAGCTTCATCGTTTATCTCAAGAACATCGTTGTTGCTGACTTTCTGATGGGCCTGACTATCCCCTTCAAGGTCCTGGCCGACTCGCGTCTCGGGCCCTTGCAGCTGGCTGTGTTCGTCTGCAGAGTCTCCGCGGTCATCTTCTACGTGAACATGTACGTCAGCATCGTGTTCTTCGGGCTCATCAGCTTTGACCGCTACTTTAAGATCGTGAAGCCGCTTTCTACATCCTTCATCCAGTCCGTGAACTACAGCAAACTCCTGTCGCTCGTGATCTGGGCGCTCACGCTCTTCCTCGCTGTCCCCAACATCATCCTCACCAACCAGAGAGTCAGGGAGGGGATGACACAGATAAAATGCATGGAGCTGAAAAGCCAGCTGGGACGCCAGTGGCACAAAGCTTCCAACTACATCTTCGTGGGCATCTTCTGGGTTGTGTTCCTTTTGCTAATCATTTTCTACACTGCTATCACAAGGAAAATCTTTAAGTCCCACCTGAAATCCAGAAGGAATTCCATCTCGGTCAAAAAGAAATCCAGTCGCAACATCTTCAGCATCGTGTTCGTGTTCTTTGTCTGCTTTGTACCTTACCACATCGCCAGGATCCCCTACACTAGGAGTCAGACAGAAGCTCATTACAGCTGTCAGGCCAAAGAGATCCTGCTCTACGTCAAAGAATTCACCCTGCTCCTGTCTGCCGCAAACGTATGCCTGGACCCCATTATTTATTTCTTTCTATGCCAGCCATTCAGAGAGATTTTATGTAAGAAACTGCACATCTCACTGGCAGATCAGAATGAACTAGATCCTTCCAAAACCAAAAGGGGGAATGCAATGCATGATAGCACGGATACTTTATGATTCCCCACCCACTCACAGCCAAGGTCCATGTGCGTATGTTGTCATCTGCAATTACACAGGAGGAACAAACAGGAAACACGCCCAAAACAACAAACAGCATCTCCAGCATTACTATCCAATTTCCTCTATAATGGAATTCAAATTTCCACGCTTGTTTGTAGCATCAGATTTCTTTCTTAATACTGCCCTATATTCCAAATTAATAGCAACATACTAAGCTATACAATTCTCAACTCTTTTTCCACAAGGTATCGTTCCAATTGTATAATCACTCTGGTCAACAGTGTAGAACTTTATTAAATAAAGGGAACAGGGATGTGGTACAGCAGACAAAGCTTCCACCTGCGATTCCAGCGTCCCATATGAGCACCATTTATGTCCCAGCTACTCCACTTCTGCTCTAACGCCCTGTCAATGCACCTGGAAAAGCAGAAGAGGGTTCAAGTGCTTGGGACCCTGCACCTACTTGGAAGCCTCCTAGGAATCTCCCAGCTCCTTTATTCTGCAACTCTGCCTTTCAAATAAACAAAATGAATATTTTTTTAAAAATAGTAAATAAATGAAAAAGGAAACAAAAACGTACTTGAGCATCATGATTTCTCTAAAGCTAAGAATGAGATGATTAAGTTATGTGAATCCTTTTTAACAGGATGTTTAAAGACCAACTCGACAGCAAGCATGGTTTCACAAAGGGCTAGAGCCTGGATGTCACGAAGAGATCAAATGCACTAACACGAAGAGGCGGGATGCACACTCAGGCAATCACTTCCAGAGACTCTTACTGATCTTACGACATTTCAAAGAAGCACATATCTACATCCTTCACAATAGAAATGTAACTTCTGATAGCATTTTGAAAATATCAGATACACATTAAATACATGTCTCACAAAGACATATTAAGCCGCTTGATAAACCTGTGATTCGAATGATTTTTTTCCACACTGTATTACAAAAATATTAATGAATAACCAGATGATGATACAGGAATGTTCTAAAAGGGACTGCACGGGTTTAAAAAAAAAAAAAAGCAGGCTCGATACTGGCATGAGTCACAAACAGTTGACTCCATTTACCATTATAACCAAAAGGACCAGCGCTGTGCTGCACCACAGGTTAAGCCATCACTTGGGGGTGCCTGAATCCTGTATCAGAATACCATTGAAAACCAAGCTATTCCGCCTCCAATCAGATTACTCCTGGGAAGGCAGTAATTGATGTTCCAAGTACCTGTGTCATTCATTCAAATGGATTAATTTAATATGCAGATGTTGCGAATTACTAAAAAGTAAAATTCTTTTTCTGCTATTAACCGGCTAGTAAACAGTCAGTCCTTCCAATGTTCTTTCCAAGCACCTTTCACAAATAATCCTTGCACATGTTCCATGCTCTACTGCATATGTAGCAATAAATTCTTTCAACCACTAAATTTTTTCCTTAAGAATCGCCATGTGAGGAGTGAAGACATGACTGGCTCCTTTCCCATGCTGTATTACACATGCTAATGCCAGGAAGGAATTACACAGAAAATTCAAAAAGTCTACTGGCCACATGCTCCAGAATCTTACACCATTTAGGGAGAATTCTGAAAACACCCCCTACACTGAGGATGAACCAGGAGGTTTTCACTCTTGATATCTACTTTCCATCCTTTTAACAGCTTTCTGCTCCCAACTGGGGGCTCAAACAGGCTCTCTCCAAAGCATCCAAAACCACCAAGCTATGATTAATGTACATGGTAACCTAGGTGTGCTTCCATTGTCTAGCTATATACATCAACACACAATTTTAGCTGCATTTATCCTTTTTAAAAAAAATTTATTTATTTTTATTGGAATGTCAGATATATAGAGGAGAGACAGAGGAAGATCTGTCCAATGATTTATTCCCCAAGCAGCCACAATGGCCAGAGTTGAGCTGATCCGAAGCCAGGAGCCTCATCTGTGTCTCATATGGGTGCAAGGTCCCAAGGTCTTGGGCCGTCCTCCACTGCTTTCCCAGGCCACAGCAGGGAGCTAGATGAGAAGTGGGGTCACCAAGATTTTAACCAGTGTCCATATGGGATCCCAGTACCTACAAGGTGAAAACTTTAGCCACTAGGCTACCATGCCATGCCACAGCTGCATTTATTCTTCACAACTCACATCAGCCAGGACAGATGATGAAATACTGGCGTTTTGAATGCCCCCTACTGATCACAGTAGAAAAAAATGAAAGGCAAGGAAAAAAAAAAAAAAAGACCCTAATACCAAGCCATATCTGTATACAAACTGGGCTGAAGCCAACAGGCAATGTGAAGGCAAGATCCTCCAGGAAGGTGTCTGCAAAGCAGCTTCACATTAGACCTTCCAGGTCTGGAGCAAAAACTGCAATCACAGTGGCAGACTCTATCAGAAATAGTAGACCAACTCAGAAGCCTCTCAAACATCACCAGCACAGGCAGAAGAAACAGGCAAAGTCGGAGATGACAGTTCAGAGCTTGCACCTCCACAAGACAAGCCAGACAGCTCTTAGTCCCAGTCACCTGCAATCTTGCTTTTCCAAACACCAAACCATAAAGTTTTCAAATTGTTGAGCCACCAGTTGAAAGGAGGCACAGCTGTGGCTAGCCTATGATAAGCTAAAGGCTGCTCTGAAGTGCATGGGAGACACACGTGGAGCAGAAAGTGTTCCAAAGTGGCCCAGGGACTGGCACGAGAAACCTTTCTCATTAAGAACCCTTAGTTTTCTCTAATGGAATGATGATTTCATTTCTATATATAATTGTTACCTGATTTTTTAAGTGTTTGGAAGTGGTTTTATTAAAGGAATATTGGTAGACAAATAATAAGAAACAGCTAACAGGAGTAAAAATAAGCATTTAGCAGGTCACACTGGCAGGTGAGACACTCAATGGTCTTTCAAGAAAGGTCATCATTAGCAGAGCTCGCGCGCAGTTCCTCTCCATGGCTTCTCTTCCCCAAGCAGAGCTGTGCTCAGTCATGCAGCGATCACAGACTTGACCCTGATCCCTGGGCAAAGGCAGGCCATACAACTGCCTCTAGTTCACCAGCAGCTCTGAGTCCACTGGCCACAGGTGGTGGAACATGATTCAGTTTATCCCAGGACACCGGGCAAACTTTCTGAAAGCGGTATCTGAATATGTGATGTCTAGGAGCGCTTGCCTCAGGTGGCTCCCGCAAGAGAGGGCCTGACACCAGCATCCTGGAACGCAGAGTCAAGCAATGGTCTACATTCATTCCCATGCAAGACCCGGGCTCATGGACCACTCTTTTCTTTTGCAAGACACAGTTTCACAGGCTCTCCTACCGTCCCATTCCCTCTCCCCCACAACTGCTTTCCTCCATATTAGAATAGTATAGTCCTTCAGCCACAATCACAATATCATGACACTGCACGTAGAGACGATGGCAGAAAGTTCAGCACACTACTGTCAAAATATATGTGACAGTTCCATGCACCAGTCTCTTCTAAAAGCCACAGCCACAACAGCACTCACACTGTCGCACGTGTATGTGTGTGGCTGCATAAGCTCAATTTTAGCTATATGAGTATTTGGGGGCAGGAAGGTAGAAAAGCAAGTCCTAACCCTATTGCTGCCTGCAAGATCCTTTAAGAAGAGTATCCATGAATATAGCAATAAAATCAATTACATCAAGAGATGATATGACACACAGATCATAGAAGGCTACTGCCCCCAGACGGGGGGCAGGGGGCGAGGGGCATTTCTTTCGGCTAAGCAGCATTGTGAGAGCTTGTTGCCTGGCCTGGGGAAAGACAGGTTCTATGTCATCTTCAACAGTCAAAGCCACGGTTTTCTTCTGGTCACTTACGCGCTGCAAAACACCAGCAGTATGCGGGTGACCACTGCACAACACAACATCCTCCCAAAATAACTGTTAAAACAAAATGTGTTTTCTTTTCCCGTGGGCCATTTCTCAGCATAAGGTGCTCCACAAAGCAATTTCAGAAATCATATGAATTATGAGACTAATGTCTCCATTTCTACTTCCCTGAATGACCACGGAAAGAGTGTCTCAAAAAATATGCCTGTCTAGTCCCCCCAAAGAAAATGTTGAATTTATCTGGACAATAAGATACTGGACTCTATGCTTGGTATTTGTTTGCAAAGAAAGAATCTTGACTGAATTTGTACTGTACTACTGCAACAAGGTGGAGGAAGCCACCAGGGGGGAGGGCACGGGGAGGGGTTGGGGGAATCCCAGAGCCTATGAAACTGTGTCACATAATGCAACGTAATTAATGAAAAAATGCCCATCTCAATAACTACGCAATACATGACAAATCTTCGTACTGATTAGAGCTCATGAGCATGTCAAGAGCGGAGTTCAAATCTCCCCCAAGATACTTCACCCCACAACCCAAACACTATCTCAAGCACTTTGGGAAGCTGCAATGTGTAACTTTCGACCAGGGATAAATGTGGGGTTCTGTTATCAAACCACAGGTGTCACATCACCCAGCCAGGTGGGGAAAGCCCACAGCTGCACTACTTCCTTGCTTTCCCACAATGCTCATCATTCGTGACCTGCTGAACTTTACTGCAAAAGGCCTCAGGGCTTACCTAATTCTCATTCTATTTCCTGAAGTCAAGAAAAGAGGATTCTCATTACTGCCACAGCAAAGTTCACTGTTAAGAACAAATCCTCAGCTAAAATCGTCCCTTTATTTAACTTCCAGATTCCCTCAGGTGCTGTTCCTTATGGTTTACCTTAAACCACTAACCTTCTAAGGGAATACTAGGTCACTCACTATATATCAGACTGACCAAAATTAGACATCAATGCTAATTTCACTTGCAAAAAAAAAAAAGGCTTGGTCTACTCATTTTTTGTTCAGGAAAATATACCATGACCAGTGGGCCTCAGGATGGAGCGTCTTGCTCGGATCTTGACTCCAGCCACCACGTGCAGGTATTGAGCTGTCTCTGGGCCTGCCTGGGCTCTGGGGGCTGCTCCCTTCGGGGTAAGTACACCGAAGGAGGAGTCCACGGGGCTGGGTGGTCCGGGGCGCGACCTTGGGCCTGGGGGTTTAAATTTCCAGCAG